TATATTAATATATTTAATGTGTTAATTGCAACCATGTTATTTTGAATCACTTCATTAACTTCCAAATTATTATTCAAAATGTGTACAATGTAAACGCTTGCGAACGAACGAACTTTTGCAGCTACTTATGCAGCTACCTGCAAATATTCGTTCGTTCGTAAGCGTTTGTTTTGGTTAGAATGCACCTTAACGAGAACATAGATTTGTGATATTAATATTCCTTAAAATCTCTTATGATTTCCAGAACATGTGATTATGGTTTTTGTTATAAACATAAACAGTAGATGTCAAATACAACAAATACTAAGCTTAACGAATACCCAACTTACACCATTTACCGAGTGTCCAGTTTCCAAACGATAAAATTTGTCATTAGAAATTATTATCCTGCATATTCTATATAACTAATATAACTAATATTAATTAATCAAGATTTTGTTTTAATATAAACACAGCAAGTGAATTTGTTAATAAAACTTTCACAGCAAATTAACAAAACTCCAGAAAAATGCGTGAACATAAAAGTCAAGTACGGTTTTGAGTCAGTTGGTTAAGAAATAATGACTCTGAGCTTTAAATTTGGCAGGGCACGAGTTCGATTCCTTGTACTTGCAGTCTCAAAAACAGTATTTATGAATAATTAAATGCAAGAATTATTTCCAAGACCACTGATGATGGGTATATGGCAAAACTCGAAACAGCTATATGGTCAGCCAAAAATACAATTAATTAAAATAATATAAAATAAATTTTTGTCGCTCTAGTTCACTACTTTTCAAAACCTCTTTATAGAATAATTATGAAATAATTATTGATAATTTTATTTAATATAATATATTAAAAACCTAAAAATTCTTTTTAAATTCAGTTATGGTGTAAAACGTACATATGTATTAAAAATTATTTTGTCAACATATAAACACATTTACTTCTTACAGTACCCAAAGCTGTTATATGTGTTATACACTACTTGTAATTATGTAGCATTCTACATATGCTGTTTATGCCAAACATTTGTTGTGCATTGTCACACCATGACCTTCAAAATCACAATGTTTTGATTTCACTCTACACATAGGGAAGCTTGCAGCAATATATGCGCTGAAAGCTTTTATCAGGAGAAAAATTATTGGTGCACACTAAAATTGTAGCAGAAAAAAATTATTATTAATAAGTAAAACCTCCAGTTCTACTCCTACAATAAATTTTGTGTTCACAGTTTTTTAAAACCCTTGTATGTATTTAAAACTTTATGCATGCATATAGAGTAAATTTATAGAACGATTGGTTTGTATGTAGATTTTGTTTATAACAAAGTTTGATTGTTGATATTTAATTATTTATTAATTTATTAGTTAATTTAAATATAATGTAGTATATTTGTATTTAATTTTTATAAACATATGTATATATGTAAATTAATATAAGATTATATAAAATTATTTCAGGTGTCTCTATAACCTAATCACATCATTTACAACAAAATAAAGTTTAAAAGAGCCCTATCTCAATAAAGTTTACTCTGCTCCGCTTTTATATTTTGTCGTTTCTACCGTTTTTGCAAAAAATTGAGCACAATTTTAACGAGAGCCGAAATTTGCAAACATTTCAGCTGGATTGTAGTCTTGTGCACAAGAGGAGTTTACGCACGTTCAGTATTGAATTTTCAGTCAACGTGAACCCAAGTGCGGAGGAGAAGAAGAAGAAAGAGAATAATCTAGTTTAAAAATTGAAGTGTGGCTAGTGTTAAATATTTATTTATTTATTTGTTATAATAAATAAAACTTTTTGAATATTAATATTCAAATAGCAAAATATAATGTGTTTACAAAAATGCATTTAATTAAGGAAATTATTATTCAAAGTTACTAAAAAAAATCCTTTTTTGTTTTTGTGTCGTTATATGAACTGAAGCTGCGTTGCTAATTTAGTTTGATTCGTGGGATTTTTAATATAAAAAAAAAATAAACAAAAACTTAAAATTAGAAGAGATTATGGAAAAAAGTGTATTTCTGTCTACGTGACTTCATAAGAACCGAAAGGAAATATAAATTTGTTTTTTGTGCATTTTCCTAATAATGTCAGTGGAATGATATGATAGGGGTTTTTTTTGTAAGTCCGTTTTTCTGTTTTCTGTATATGTGAAATGACGGCGTGTAATTTGGAGTATCACGTTCCAAGCATGTGATGTTGGTGGCTTCCTACCACAATGTGAACAGCTTTCAAATATTGATAAATTTGAAGAAGAGGATAATAAATGCAAATTAGTTAATTAAAAATTTTTATAAAATTATAATGAAAAGCCAATCCTTTTCAGTCTAGGATAAATAAACATTGACAATATAAATTTTGTTAAAGAATATTTCATGAAATACATCACATAATAATATTATCATATTTACAAATACTTATTGTTTTTGTTGACATATTATTTGTTGCCTTAATTATAGCTTTTTATTAAATATTAATATCGGATTACTTGTATTTTTTTCAAATCCATAATTTCTCCTCCTCTTCCTATTCATCCATTGTTATAATAATACACCTTCGTTCACCTTTTGACTTGATACGAACTTAATTAAATATTAGTAAATATTAATTTACAAAGTAGTTTTCGTTTTCATATGTGGATATGGGTTAAATATCCACATATTCTACATATGTCCTTTTGAAGACCATCGACCGGCTGACATACTACATACTGCCAAAAAAAGTAAAAAAAATCCTTCAACAAGGGCAAAAATAATTATTGATTTTTGTTTTGGCCCAAAAAAAAAAACTGACATGAAATTGAGAAGTTCAGCCGTGGCGCCTGAGTTTTTTCCTGAATCTTGTTGCACATTGGAGTGGGTTGTGTTGTTGTTATACTACATTTTAATTGTTTTCTTTGTCAACATGGAAGACCCCATTATTTCATTGAAGCACATATGAAACCATGAAAATGCGTTTAATATAATTGATAAAATTTATGAAAAAGAAAAAAAATATATAAACTATTATTTTGTTTAAACTACGCATTTTTATTAATTCTACGTTTTAAGGCATTGTTGCAGATAAACCTTGACCTTGACTCTATATTTTTGAAATCATATTTTGCATCCCTCACAATTTAGATTTCTAGCATAGAATTAATTCCAAGGACTTTACTAATAGCATTTTTTACTAGAAGAGTATATTTCAGTGATTAATTATTTAAATTATTACAATAAGTGATGGCACTCCAATTGGAGGTCTGGGCGCCATACAAATAAAAACAATGGACATTAATAAAAAATAGTACCCAATATAATATACATAAAATCATTAAACAAAATTGAGTTATAATTGGACAAAACCCTAAAAAAAGTATATGTGCTTTAGGTATTAAAATTTGTAGTGTCTGAGATGAGTTATTATTTCTGGTATATTAGAAACTATACTCAACTATACCAACTATAAGTGTATTAACTCCCTTTTAATTTGATGGATTAAAAATCTTTCAAGGATTAAACACATTTTATATTGAAGGATTATAGGAGTTAAATAACACTCCTTTTAATGTAATGGATTAAAAATCTTTAAAGTTGAAAAATTAAAAATTTTGCAAATTGAAGGATTAAACACATTTTAGATTGGAGGATTATAAATCTTTTAAATTAAAATTTGAAGTAATCAAATAATTTATATACTTTATTTTTCCTGTCTGTAAGTTCCTATAGTTTAATTGGTCTATTTTGTTTGTCATTTATTATAGTCTATTTTATCCATCATGAATGTCTAATAAAAGGCATCTTTGTATGAATAGAGTATTTGTTTATAAAAATGATTTTCCATTGTGTTTATTATTAGTATCTCTTGTTTAAAATTAGGTAGAGTACAAAAAATACAGATATTCCTCTATATGTGGTGGGAACATATCACCAAACTAATTGCGTGCCTTAGTTCTTTTCTAAATTTATGCAAGTAAATTAAAATTTGTAAATAATTAATACATAAGTAGTATGAAATTGTACTAAAAAAAAGAAAAAAGTCAGAAACTGGATTGCATCTTTTGATTTAAGAAGTTCAGATAAAGTGGATCAACAGCAATAACAATCTCATATATGTACATTAAAATTTAAGTATTCTTAATACCAATTTCAACCATTCTAAAATCTTATAAGTAACATGTTAGAATTTTTTTAAAAATATGTTTAGCACATTTCAATTGTCTAAGCACATTAATATTTTTATTCAATATATTATCTTAATTAACAAATGAATTGTCACTGAAATTAACGGCCTGAATAACCAGCTTCCTAACTGTACAGTTTTAAACCAATATATTTTTTCTTAGTTTGGTTCCGGTTTTTCACTTCGTCAAAAATATCAATTTTTTTAGGTATTTAATTCAATTTTATTAAGTTTTATTAATAAAATTGAAATATAATCTTTAATTACTTTAAAAAAAGTATATATTTTTTTATATATATGAAACATTTCATAGGGCAACATCACATGTATGTATGTAGTTGTAAAACTTTCGAAGTTTCTAATACTAGAGATCTGTAATATATATTCTTAATAAATATTTTGAATACTCAAGAGGGTAACAACATCTATACATATAAAATGTATACGATAAAATAGGTGTAAAGCTTTTGCTGTTTTTTTTATATTAGAGATCTAGCGATTGTTAAGTAGTTTTATTAAAAAAGAATAATCACCTAAATAACATAATTAGTTATGTGTATATAAGTATAAACATCTACACTAACAATACCAGAAGAACGCGCTCATTAATGACTTCAGCTTTAAGTGTTTGTCTCTTCACATTCAAAACTCTTTAAAAAAAATGTTAATAACATGTGCAAGGTTTAACATAAAAAGCAGCAGGTCAAGATTAAATAAATGATGCCTTCATCTGTATAATTTTCTTAAATGTGTACTTCTTTAAATATATACTGACATATACGTATATATTCATATGGATAGCTTTTTATTACAATCGCTAAACAAATTTATTTATTTTTTATTTTCAGTATTAGAGCAATATGCCACCAAACGCAGTACCCAACTCACAATCTATAACAGATTCCTTGGCTGCAACTGTAGCCGCAAATGGAAACCCAAAGAATTTACACGAATCGTCGACTGGTAAGTGGAACTCACACTATTTTACCTTCTAAGCGTAACCTGTTATTCGATGTGTTCTTTTTTTTTTGTATACGCTAGGCGTTCTTTTCGAATATGACGCCGAAACTATTGATGGTGGTTTGGTCAAAGACATTGAAAAGTTAAAAAAAGCAGAAAAACGAAAACTGAAGTTAGTTTGGCGAAATATAATTGCCTTTGGGTATCTACATCTCGCAGCTTTGTACGGAGCTTGGTTGTTAATCACGTCAGCCAAATGGCAAACTATTGGTTTTGGTAAGCGAAAAATTAACTACAATTTTGTTTTCTAGTTGTACGCTTAAAATTGTAAATAATTATAAATTAACAAAATCTTGTAAAAATATTCATGATGATATTTTCTATGTCGCAGTTGTGATTGTTGTCATTTACACCTTGTCTTATATAGAAAATTTTAATTTGTATATGATATCTGTATGTATATTAAAAACGCTACCTCACCATTATAAAATCTTTTGAAATTATAAAATTTGAACTCTTTAGGTTAGTTTCGACAAACATATTTTCGCGAACCCATGGCGATAACCTAACTGCATGCAGACACTTAAAATGTGCCTTTATGTCTCTTTTTGCTATTAAGTTCGAGTTCAAACAATTTAGCCAGAGATAAGATTGATTTAAATTTTATATTTCTTTTGTTTTCATATTCTTTTCTTTTTACGCAGTATTAACTATTTAAAAATAATTATAAAAATATTTCTATATTACGTTTTTGTTAATAGAATTAAATGATACAATGTGCTTAAAACTTAAACAAAATCAAATCATTTTTTATATAAAGTAATAGACTAATATTTCAATATATATAAACAATATATCTTTCCCCAAAAAATAGCGACGTCCGACGTACTGTTCTTACTGCACTTAGGTGAAGACATAGTCTTCTGCTCAATAGTTACTTAAAAAAAAGTTATTTGATTGATTTTTAACATGTACCTAAGTTCGGGTTTTACATACCATCAGGAAATGGGGAGAAATGTACAGATCACTGACTTAATATTGTAGACCAAAGTATACCTGTAAACAATTTCTTATCCCATCAAAAGGAATATCAAAGAATTGGATTAATCCAACTGATATTGAAAGCTGAGAACACATTCTTTGTGAATGTTCAACTTCTATGAGATCAAGTCTTCAGCATTTACATTGTATGCGTCCATATGTTATATACTCTGAAAACACAAATCACTAACTGCGTAAAATTGATCAAAACCCTAACTATTCTCGACCCAGGCTAATTTCAATTAACAGCCACTCGCGCCCTTATCCTATCTCTCACGATCAATCTTGTCCTGTTTTATGTCATCCTCCGCACACTCCATTCCAAGCTATGTTTTCGCGTATTACCTGCTCTACAGCTTACTTTAGATAACAATAAAAACAACCTACGTAACATATAGTTACGATGGAATTCTAAATCCTTAGACTAATTAACGTCAACAAGCTAAATTTTTAGAACTCATCTAAGTTGCTTTGTATAAATTTAAATGTAATTCAAAATTAAATTTTATTCATATCAAATAAAAAATTTGAAAGTATATTGCGTTTCAAAAACATTTTGTTAAAATCAAAATTGTGTGTCAATCCTTGTAAAGTGAATTATTAGTTGGACATAATTTAACTACAATGGATTGTTATAATATTCCAAAGAAGGTGAACAGACATGTATTGTCCGCCATGCATTACTTGTCATCGGGTAAGCCGCTGGGAACTCCGATAAAAGAGAAGGAAATAATTGATAGAGTACGTTTTCAAATGAAAAGATTAGTACCTGTGCCGAGACTTGCAAATGTTATAAGAAAATCGCTTAGGAATATGGAAAACCTTAGTATTGTTTCAGAAATGCGTCCACATCATTTTAGTTATCATTGCGATTCGAGACAAACCCTGTTACAAAGTAGTCCGGAACAGGACAATTTATTTAACCAGAATATATTTGTTCCAAGAGGAAAGAGGAGTTATCAGTGGACTGAGGGTCCTGCAAACGAAAGAAATGATT